CCATTTGGGTGCTTTTCATTTTTCCCCGTATGTTTCGGAAAAGGGGGCGGCTTTAGATCCGCGCACGGGTTGGTACTGTTTCGCCTGGATCTTTGACACACGTTTTGATATCCCTTTGCGACCCAAGATTAACCAAGGAGAGGCCCCCAGAGGCAGGAGAAGCCCGTGCCGTTTGGTTTTTCAGGGTCGATGGGGTTTTCTTCTTGACTTGCCTGTGTTTGCCTGTCGTTGGGGCGGCCATTCTGGTCACGACCATTCGTAGCTTCTTTGTACACAAATGGGTCGATTTTGGGCTTCATGCATCGCAATACAGGCCACCTGGCCCGCCACCTGGTCCGGCCGGGCCGCGTCGTGCGTGGGAAGGCACGGATGGCACGAAGTTGAGCCATTTGTTGTTTTGCAGCATGCTCCTCATTTCTTCAGAAAAGGAGTCCGTCATGAGATTTTTGAGCAGCTCCTAGTATTTGTTGAATCAGATTCCTTGACTCGATGATCAACAATCCCTCTAACGTGCAAGTAAAACAGAATCAAGAAAGACAGATAGATGGCTGGATGGATAGATAGAAGAACACCGGAAGAAAGAAAACCCCAAAAACAGAAACAACAAAGAAACAAGAAAGGTCTAAAGGTCCAAAGAGAGAGAGAAAACTAGACGGGCAAGAAGTCTGACATCGACCACCACGGATCGTTGGAGCAGCATCGGGCTCGACACATCTAAAGCTTGAAGCGGTTGTCTCTCCAACGCAGCCATATGTTCCTCGTTACGGACTTTGTGTGGTTTTGCTTGCACTCATTTGCTAGACTTTGCTGCTGTCATGATTCATTGTAGCAATCTCTCGCTTCCCTTTTGTGGTTGTGCCATTGCGGCTGGCCATTGTGGACTACGTCCGCGCCGAACCCTCGTCCAGCCATCTTGGCTATTTGCCGGCTGATGAATTGTCTCTCTTGGCAAGATTGAGGGGCACCTCGGATTTTGCATTCTACTTTGCTGGGCCTGATGAAGTTGTGTCTTTATGTGCTGAGGATTTGTTTGCGCAACTTCGTGCGGCGCAACTGGGAAGTTTGTGTGATGCCCAGTCTGATTTGTTGTGGCCCCAGCAGCGCCCAAACACTCCTGACGCTAGTTGTAACAGGTGCCACGCTAGTAGTAACAGGTGCCTTACTACTAGTAACAAGGACGCTAGTTGCTCTGTTGCGCAGAGCATTTGCCTAGCGGCCGCCTCGACTCAGAGGCCAAGTTGTTAAGGGTGTCGGACTGGCCCTCAGAATTTCGTGTTCAAAGCACTCACAAATCCAACAACTCAAAGGTTTGATCTCAATTTTTTCTCGAAGTTGAGCGAGTCCCGTGCTCAGTCTTTGTTTGCTGTCATGAAACGATGGTGTGCCTCATCGTGATTATGTGCTTGCTGAAGACAGTACTGGAAGCCAACTCCGTTTCTCTTAGTTCTTGAAGCACGGCCCTAGCGTGGCTGCAGGATGCCATTTGTCTTTAGTGGCTTCGTCCAAAGCAACCGTTCCCTTTCCAGTCTAACCTGTTCCCAAAGGGAGAACCCTGAGATTTATGTTGGCTTGGAACTTGAACGCCAGCATAGGGGGAGTGCCATCCTCATGTTGCAAGGTGTTTGCTGCCACTTGTGGCTCGCCTTCGTTTTGTGCATGTGCAAAGGTCGCGGCTTCCGATCGAAGGTGACTTTGTTCTGAGTAGGTGAAAGCACCCATTGGCCACCATGTGCGGCCACCTTTTGACTGGGGCTTTCCAGGCCCTTGCTCGTTGATTATGCCGAGCTTTGTGTGCAGGTAGGGAATAGTTCTCTTCACTACTTGCACGCCAAGTTGCAAGTTGCAGTGCATTCCACCAAGAGTGGTTTATTTTTGGTCTTCATTCGACCTGTGTGTGGTTGTGTACTCTGTTGCTAGCTTCGACGAAGCTCATCAGACCAGGCTATGCTTTGGCTGCGTTGGACATCTTATCGTTTGTCCCTGCTACATAAGTGTAGTGTGCTTTGGCTTTGTGACAACCAGCCTGGTTTATGCTTTGACAAAGGATACCAGCTCTTCTCCGGACTTGTCCCACAAAGCCTCCAAGTTTGGGTTGAGTCTGTTGACCCTGCCTCCAACCCAGCCCGAGTCTTGTCTTCGTCCGTATTCCTCACAATCTCCCTGAGAAATTGTAACCTTAAACCGTTCGTTTTTTTGACGTTCGTTCCGGATATGCTCTCTAGATGCCTCTTAGATTCGCACTGGGTCCTGGCTTCACTTGGGGGCATTGGGGGCACGAAGTTCGAAGCTGCGGGATTGAGAGCCGAAAGAAGGGCGGTGCATCGTGGCTGCCGTGCATTTTGCACGTCACCTCAGATTGATGGGGAAGCTTTATGAAGGAAGTGGCAAAGAAAGAAGAGAATAGAAAGGTCAGTCTCACGGTCTAAAGGAAAGAATAGACACGACAGATTAAAATGGTCTACAACAGTAAAGGTTTGGCTTGTTTCGAGGTAGTAAGGTAGTCAAGACCAAGACCTAGGTTCAGGCGCTTTGGACTTTGGGCGGTCCTTCAGTAGCAAGGAGCTACTAGTAGCAAGGCACCTTGCTACTAGTAGCGTCCTTTGCTCCTAGTAGTAAGGCACTTGTTACTAGAAGCGATGCACTTGTTCCTAGTAGCAAGGAGTATAATTAATAATGGCACCCTGTGACCCATGCAGGCCTCGGACTTTATACCCGAGAGGCACGCAGTTGTGCTATGTGCTCGTCCCGAAGACGATCGGGCAGTTTATTGTGCGGTTTGTTTGCGGCACACAATGGATGTATGATTTTCCATGTCACTTTTCCTACATGGTGTGTTTACAATCCAGAAACCTCCAGTGGCGCCACTGAAGAAACGTTTGGCACAATTTAAATTGGGGTTTGGACAGTTTGGGTTGACCTGCTGATGGCAGGGGCTCTTAGCGGAGTGGGTGCCTCAGATGTGAGTGGTGTATCGTGCTATCGACAGGGAAAAACAGCGAAGGCCCTTTCAAAAACATAAGTCGAGAACGTTTTCTGGCCAGTGTTGGTAGGTCTAGAACAGCGCCAAGACAGACCACTTTATTTTTTTGGGGGGGGCACTTGGTAGGTCTAGATCTTGATCAAAAAGTCGACGCCATAGATCTCTACAAGTAAGGAACCTCTACTTTTTACCCGTGTGGATATTATAGTTTTATTTTTTCGTTGGTGTAGGCCATGTACATTAGGTAGTGGCAAGGACACTCCAGTGCTGACAGTGAAACAATCCTGAGAGTATTGTGTTTGAGGCCAACAACTTGGCCAGCTGTCGCATCTCCAAAGCTGAAGTATCCCGGGCGAAGCTTAGTCGTATTCGAATTCTTATGAAATTCCAGGGTTTTCTCAAGGCACATGGTATCTCAAAGATAGCGCAACGATTTGTTGCAAGATAGCATGTGTGGTTTTCCTTGCATGGTTCTTGTGCTAAAGCACCAAGAACACGCAAAAGGATGGCAGCGGTTGTTGCCACGGCTGTGCTAAACCAATCGCACGCTGTACGTTCGCTGTGTTGGGTGCTGTGAGGTGACTCGTGGTTATGCAGCACCAATCAATGCACACCCCCAGGCTCCTGCAGGTTCCTGCATTCAGCTTGACAGACTCGCCTGATCCTAGCTCAGAACACATTTCCACTATCCCACCTCAGATACGTCTCTCTCTCACGCTTCATCGCCTGCCAGCCGGTGGCTCAAAAGTAGCCTCCTGTGCAGAACAGAATACAAACGGTGGTGCGCCTCCTGTTTCCGTTTTTCTACGGCTACGGCGCTATGAAGCTGGTTTGGTGGTCGCTTGTTTGTAACAGCGGGTTTGGTGGAGGGGACGAAGATTGAGACGAAGAGATTGGTCCACCTTGCTGACAAATAATGTCGTGCCGTTCTCTCTGAACCCTTTTATCAAAAGCAAGATTTGGGCAGGTGAAGATGTGACTGCAAGCGGTGACTGTTTTGTTGTTCTGAGAACCCTTCCCAATCATCTCGACACTGGCCGTACTTCCAGCTCGCGCGTACTTTGCATACTTCATACTTCCCAGGTCTTGGCTTCTGGTCTTGGCTTCGTCTGAGAATTCCTTGCGTGGCGAACGAAGGGACTTTCATGAATGCGGCGTGCTGGGTGGCCCTTTGCGCAAGGGCCGCCGCGCGCGGATCGTCCACGGCCGAGCGGCCGAGCGCTGTGTATATCGCTGGCAGGTCAGCATTCAGTCCTTGGTGGCAGGGCATCCGTGGCACTTCTGTGGAGGACGCTTGGGCCACGGAGGTTGTGAGCCGTACATGTGGTCCAACTCCATATTGGTGCTCCTACATTGTCAAGATCGTGATCCACATGCCTAGGAAAACAAAGGATGCCAAGTGTCTAGTGTCTAAATGCGGTCTCACATGACGATCGTGCACCTCCCCAGTGCCTCAGGTACTCTCATTGCCCCTGACTGGGTCTTGACCGCAGCTCACTGTGCAGCAGAAATCACCAACGTTTGCAACCTTCGGAACATCCGAATCGTCTCGAGCGACTGGAAGAAGAGTTCCAACGAAGCGGCCGTGACGCGAACTGTGAAGAAGGCGTGACACGGAGTGAAGTGAGCGAAGTGGCTTAGTAGTCTCCTTTGTAGCGATGCCAGGAGCCCCTAGTACCGTCCGATCGCTCCTAGTAGTAAGGCCAGGAGCCCCTAGTAGCGTCCTTTGCTCCAAGGAGGAAGGCCGGGAGCCCCTAGTAGCGTCCTTGCTCCTAAGGGAGGGTGTTGTGTGAGTTTTCCAAGCGATGGAGACTTCCAACCACTGGCATTCTTTCTTTTCGCCTGAAAAGGTCTAGCAGGGTTTATCTCTTGGACTTCGCCGCCCTTCCTTAGTTCTGAATCCGACACACATCTTGTTGCCACAGTTTGATGAAGGTTGAACCAGAAGTGCTTTGGTAAAACTTGGGTGGCCTCCAACCTACTAGCGCCCTCCAACCTAGCTTTGGTCAACATCAGCTGGGCGAGGTCTACAGCAGCCCCACCTACAACGTCATTTCGGAGTCGGACGGGGACTTCGCCCTGATGCAGCTGGACCAGCCGATGCCCATTACCGACTGCATCGGCACCGCTTGTTTGCCCAAGGATCCGGCTCCGGAGGGATCCGTAGTAGTAACAAGCTAGTAGTAACAAGAAGCTACTAGGAACAAGTGCCTCGCTTCT